CTTAAGTTGCCCCGCACTGATTTCTTTTGCAGGGAACGAGATACGAACAGGAGGTCGTATCTTGCTAGTGGATTACGCTCCGGGTCAGTGGCCAATTGTTGGTCGACCGCCGGTTGTGGGATCGACGCATTCGTCAAGGGCCTGCAGTGGGTATTGGATAATTCACCCGATACTGCAGAGTTCCGCGAATAATAAGCGTTTCCGATCTCCCTGGTGAAGGTGCACCAGGAAAGAGTGTAGCTTGCAAGCGTACTGAGCTTGTGCATGCCAGTAGAAGGTCGGATTTACGACCCGAACTTCCGCGTACAGCCATAGCAGCTGTGCGTGCAATTGCGAGCGGCGTAACGCGAGCACTGTTTCGGCATACCGAAATCCAGTACGAAAAATAAGGGCAACGAAGGAAAGAGTATTCTCTTTCGCATAATTCTTCACAGTCCGCGGCTGTTATTCAGTCGTTAATTTAAATTAATCGAAGCGTTCGTTGTTCTGTTTGTTTACAGGAACAGACGATAATCGCTCAGCCCTCGCCGAGAAAAAAAACAAATAGACCAAATTTGTACTTCAATTGAGAAATCGCCGGCAGTGTCGGCGGTTTAATAAACGATTGTATATAAAAGGATTAACACTTTTATTTCATTTAAACCTGCTTCCCTCTTTTCCGGTACCAGTTAAATTTTGTTTAGGCTAAATCTCCAAACACAGTTAATGCACAATGTGATCTGGACCCATAACCTATTGGAAATGGGTAGATAAATAAAATAGTAACGCAGTGAATTAAACTTAATTCTTTTTCTTTATTATTTATCTCGCATATGGAAGGACCGTCTTAACTCTCTAGATTGCTCCAGGAGACTGACGAACAGATTACGAAGACTAAACTAAAATGTTACCCAACAACAAAGAGCTCTCGGTTCCGCGTGAACATGAAACACTGTTCATATTCCGACTAGATTGATCAAGTAGATACATCTGGTCTAGATTCTCTGCGTCGATTCATTTTTGTAACATTGTATGCCACATGAAATGAATTCTGGGTATACTAAAAGTTAAATAATCCAACAAAATTAATAATCCGTAATCATATTACTCTCGAGACTATGTTGACGTTCCGAGAAAGTCACTGCGAGAACATAGCAAAAACCGCGCCGAGTTTACTGCCGGCTCGGTCGTTTAAATGGTCGCGAGGTTTTGATTCCGCGACCGGAAAAAATTCCACTCGTGCAGAGTGCGACGGAGTATGAAGACGCACGCGTGATGTGTCACCTGAGTGCCAGCGAGACGAAGATACCTCGCAATTCCTCATCTCGCGACGACCGAGGTGACGGACAATTCGACTGTTACCGAATTGAGGGAGTCGACGTTATACCATGGTGGAAGACAATGCGAAGTGATAAATTTCTGTCAAGTGCATTCCTGCCAGGTGGAGGATATACAGTGACCATTCGTATATCCAGGACGTTCGACTAGACAGCTGTCTCCAGGGGTCCATCGAGAGCAGAAAACTGCAAAAGGCGGGCCGCGGGCCGAGCCCCTCCACGTCGGGCCATCGGGCTTTGCGATAACGCGAACATGATACCTTTCTTCCGGTGGCCCGAGGAGTTACCAGCGGCCCGTTAGTATCATCAACCCGATCTGTGACGGGCCGAGGCAGCCCAATTCGGCCCGAATTACTCACTGATGCTCGATGCTAGGCATCGAGTGCTCTACGTAAGACGTCACGCAGACTCGCCGTCGCGTTCCTTACTCACTTTTTCTTTATAAATTCTGTATTTATTATGCATGGTATTGCAGGATGTAAAATATTAAGTTAATTAATAAAACAC